TTTGAACAAATTTCAGGGATTCAGATCCCAAGGATCAGCCAGCACTTACTGGAATGATAATACTGAAAGCCTCTAGCCGAGGCACAGAGAACTAGACGTGAAACAAACAGCACAAAGAAACGAAATGCACAGAGAACTAGATGTGAAACAGCACAAACAATGAAATGCACAGAGAACTAGATGTGAAACAAACAGCAAAAACAATGAAATGCAAAGAGAACTAGATGTGAAACAAACAGCACAAACAATGAAAACATCTCCTATTAGAGAGGTCAAGAGAGCTTTAAATCACAGGAACTGCAAAATTAGGTCGGTAAAAGGCTAATGAAAGGAAACACTATACAAGGAAAACAGAACAGATCCATCTCCTAACAAGCATATCATAAAAAGTGATTAATAGGAGTTTGCTAAAATCTGATATGATGGATCGAAAGGCCTAAATATTGCTGCCTAGTTATAAACAGCAGCATGACATGCCAACTGTCCTTTCAAAGGCAAAACGGCAAATGCAGAAGAGAACAGAATAAACACAAAAGATCTCAGCTTAAAGAGCCCCACGCACACATACACGCACACACACACCCATAGATTAAATCAAAATAAAGTTAATAGTAATGAGGTGAGTAAACATTTTTACACATTAAGATGCAGATAAATGCACTATCAAAATAAATAATGGAACAGAACAAGTTGAAACTGTATATTGTAAAATGAAGACATACAAACACTGTGTTATTAGAAGTAATATTTCTTGACTGTTAAGAATAACAATTCTGAACATATTGTAACAACTTTTAAAATTAATGGAAAATGAGGAATGCAACAAAAGAAGATTGTCTTGCAATACAGCATAAACTGAATAATACTGACAGAGAAGTGGAACATGATTATTCACAATAGTTGAGAAAGGCACTTGATGACGGTGATAAAAATGATGATAAGGCAATGGGATTTTCTTATACCACCTAAGATCTAAGCCAAATGATTAAGAAAGTGAGGAGAAGAAGAAGACTGATGGCATCAACAGGGATTGGTTGATTGAAACAGCCCATACACGTACAAACACACAGAAAATTGAAACTGTACGAAGCCACCAGGTGAAACCATTATAAATCCCTCTTGGTGAAAATACATATACTTGACAGATAAAATTCACACATTTTAACAGACATCTGTAAAACATATAAAAATGAATAAGTGAAGATAACCTAAAAATATCGGTGAGAAAATATGAACTCATTAACCTTATAAATAATAAGCGATGAAAAAGTTGCCAGATCATAGGCAAAGGTTGCCTCTTTAGATTCCATGCTTTGCTTTGTAGATGGGATTTTTGTCTTGGCCATAATAAAATCAGTCTCATTACTTAATTGTCGGACCTAGTGTGTGTGTGTGTGTAATAAACTAACCACTTCAGTGGATGTAGGGGGAAGGGCAGGGGTTAGCCTGAGGATTTGAGGCTGCATGGATAGTGCTGTAGCCACAGACTGTGCAGGTTAGGATTTTACCCAACAAAAGGAAAAAATCCTCAACCATACTGGATTCTAACCAGTCTTGCCTGAGAGCCCAGTATTTTTAACCGCTGGACCTGCCTCTCCTCTAGTTTGGGAGTAACAAACTGGAAACATAACCAAAACCAACAGGGGGGCCCTCCCCCCCCCCCCCCCCCCAAAAAAAAATTATCAGAGCACAGCAACAAGCAACGACACTTGAAAAGTTTCACATATCAATGAGGGGAAAGAAAATTTAATATAATAATGACTACATATAGGCAAATGTGCACGATCAACACACTTTTAATTTTAAAAAAAAAAAAGTTTTATATGCTTGGAGCAATGGTAGAGCAGTTGCTAGATGCTTGCCTCCTACCCAAAAATTTTGGGTTTAAATCCACACCTATGGATTTGATGAAAAACAAACTGACTTTGGCAACCAGGTCGAGCCAGTCTATAATGAGTGCCAGATATGTCCTGGGAAGTAAAGGCAGCCACTATGAAGTTAACCAAATTACCCAATAAAAGCTTTGGTTTATAAAAAAAAATATGAGTCTCAGCATCATATGCCTTGATGCACCAGTGGTGCGTAAAGTGTCCTTTCCGTAATTATGGCTGACATATATAGGGAAAAAACCTATAATTTGCACAGGCTTCCAATTTGGAGACATCTTGTTTCATAAGTGATTATAGTATACTTCTGTGTGTTTAATTTTTTTTTTTTTTTTTTTTTTCAACATACAAATAAATGAAATCATCAAGAATAAACATAATTTTCAAACTACATGATTAACTCTCTGAGTCCCAGGGGGTTTAGCATCACAGGCCCAAGGGGTAGTCAAAAGAGACATAAAATCGGCGCATCATGCGTTCATTGGGCCTCTAGGTAGGAATCTATGAACGTATGTTGCGTTCCTTGGGACTCCAAGAGTTAATATCTGGACCCACATTTACAAACAGGGATCAACAAACAATGTAACTGGGGAGAAAGTATTTGTGAAGGACTCCTAAATAACACATTTTTTTTTTTTTTTAAAGTGCACAGAAAATCATGTAAATAGTGATGGAAATTATGTCAAGTAAATTCACAGCAAAGGCAGATATTTTTAAAACAGCAACTGGAATGTTCATTTAGGACATCAGAGAAACATAAAAACAGGTGTGAAAAAAGGCGTGAAATCAGATACTTCAACATTAAACAGAAAGAAGAAGAAAAACAGTGTATGACTTAAAGTCTTTAAAAAAAATAATTGTAGAACTCAGAAAGGTTGTAAAATTCATGGATTCCATATCACTGTAATGTTCTAATTTATGTAAAATTAATTATCTGAACAGAAACAAATCCCCATTCAAATAAACATTATGTAATGTAACTCTCTGAGCACCAAGCACATCACTATAGGTTCAATGTTTATTCTACATATGGCAGCTTCTTGATATTTCCTACGGCATTCTCAAGTAATCTGGTAATCTTAGTTTTAGCTTCATATAAAATGGGTCATCCCATAGCTGATCCGCTCCTGTGCCAATTAAAAACACACAGAATGTCCATCACTATCCCTTGTGGAAAAAGTGACATAGACTGCATATCAGCATATCAACTAGCATATGCACGCATTAAAAGCATAAGGCAGACATCAGAAGTGCACACGCGTTTATTTTAACACATTAGGCACCACCAATTCTGTCTCAAATGTCAACATGCCATGCACCATTTTTGGAATTTACAGTTCACATCACCATGTTAATCACAGTTGAAAAAACATTCCAAATGAAATCCACAGCTCACAGTGTCGCACCATGTGCTCAACTCAGTAGCTGGGCGACAAAGTATATTCTTTCAGTCTACAAATGGAGGCAAATCCAACGGCCACAGTCTATCAGATACTAAAAAAATTAGCCACAGCTAAAAACAGTCACTGTGCCTATCATCAATTTTGACCGCAAGCTTCCTCTAGTTATGGTAATCTATGGTATCTTCTTCTTCTTCATTGCGTTCACCAGTTGTAAACTCCAGCAGAAAGTTCAGCTTGCTCATCGCCTTCTGGACTTGTGGTGTTGTTTCTAAAACATGAGTTCTGCCTGCACATCTTTTTTTTACAATTTGGCTTATTTGTATGCACTCTGTTGGTTCCTGACCTCTCAGGCAGCTGCACTCCAATTGTGAAGGACCACCCTTAATTCAGCCACCTCCTATGACATTCTTGTTAGGAGTAGGGTGGTCTTTTATTTTTTCAACTAATTAGGGGCCCTGGAACTGACCCAGGGATATTGTATCTCAGTTGTTGAGTTATCTCACTGTGTCCCATAATTGTATTATTTTTAACTATTTAAGTTTTAAAGACTGTTACTCTGAACTATAACGGTAGTGAGTTAGAAAGTGTTGAATTAGCTACCTGGTAGTGAAAGATTTAAGAATGTGCACATTAAAGTAAAACATAGAAAGACAAACGATTAAACAATATTAAGAATGTGCTCATCAAGAACAACAGAGATAGGCATGTTTACACCACAGAGAATTGAGCTGAGTTGATTCATGGACCGACATCACATCACTCGGGGCATTCCCATAAACACTCCCTCCCCATCTTCAGCAGCCAACGCAGAGTTCCAATACCAATGCTGCCAGCAGGAGTCTGATTAAATGTCCGTCTTGTCTTTCCTCTGAGCATCGCGTATCGGACCATAGGGAATTATAGTTCACTAGTTTCCATACTCTCTCATTTCTAATATAGATGTTTTCCATGCCATGATGCCAAACTGTCCAACATTCCCTCTCTTGGTTTCCCCTCTGCCTCTCTTCCCTTTCAACTGTCCTTTTCTTAAAATGTACACCAGTTTTCTCCTTCTCACAACTAGCGGTAAATTGGAGCACACTCATACCATTATAATCAATTACAAAATAAAATATTAACTGGTTGACTAAGCTAACAAGTATATGATTGTCCTGTTTCTAACAAGGCAATTTGAAGATTTTCTCTTTGCACACTCTGCAATGCAGCATCTCTGATGATCTTTCTTCCACTGTTTCTGAGATCTAATTAGTTAGTTAGTTAGTTAGTCTTTCCTCTTGTGTCGAGTGCGGCACATAGGGCAGAGGTCGTGACTCTCCATGCACGGCAGTCCGTTGCAATCCGTTGTAGGTCTTGGATGTTTGAGTGGCCCATGAGCGAGCCTTCCCTGATGATAGTTCTACGTAGAGTTTCCCTTGGTCTTCCACGAGATCTTTTCCCCTGTGGTGTCCAAATGAGGGCTTGGTAAGGAAGTCTTGATTTATCCATTCTAAGGGCGTGGCCGACATAGTTCCAGCGGCGTTTTCGTATAAAATTAGACACATACTCTTGCCTGGATTCTTGCCTTATTTGTGTATTGGTTCGGAAATCTGACCATTTGAAATTTAGTATTCTTCTAAGGCATTTATTTTCAAAACTGTCTAATTTTGTGTCTAGAGTTTTCGTTGATTTCCAGCTCTCGCATCCATCTAATAGGCTAGGCTTTTCCATAGGTTTACTGAAGCCGTGGGTTGTATCCACATTTTGGGTGTGTTGATGTGCTTTCTCCATATTTTCTGCCAAATTCCAGATTGTCTGCCACAAGCTTTTTACTGCCCATTCCACTGTGCACGGCTAACAAATCTGCAGACTTCAATGATGTTGGGTTAATCTTCCTCTGTCCCAGAGGACTAACTGTGGTTGACTTACTGTTCTTATTCAATTGAGGATTAGTCTCTTTCTGCAACCTTATCTCATCATTAAGAAATGAGAAGGCTTCTTCCACTTTATCCTTTACTGTCTGTGGTTTGTTTGAGCCATGAGCATTCATTTTCATCATCCCTGCTGCAATTCCTTGTTCTGAGTCTGAAAATTTATAAACTGTTGTGGCAGGCACATCATTTACAACACTGTATGTATTTATGTCAACACTGTTTCCGTCACCATGCTCCACAGATAGTGAAGGAGTTTGGCCAATGATCTGAAAGCTTTCAAAATGTTCACCAAGAAAGTAACTGTCACGTGAAAATGATTTTGCAGGGTATGGGCTAGAAATATTACTACAACAATTGTTATCAGCTGTAGCGTACATACTAGAAAAATTACTACAACAATAATTATCAGCCACAGGGTACATACCAGAAACATTACTGCAACAGACATTATCAGACTTATCACCAGAAGAAACTCCTAAATTGATAAGCAATGTCTCTAGTTGTTCTTTTCCATTAGTTGACGGTTGTTGAAACTGTGTCATTTTTTCTCCATGTCGTTGTTTATCTGCCTTTATCTGCATCCTTTTGCTTTCCTGCACTTCTAAAAGTTCAAGCTTCTGTTTAAGAAGACCAACATCGGTCTCCAGTATACCTAATGCTGCTTCACTCTCAAACACTTTGGAGTGTACAGACTGAAAATACAAAAAAGCTTCCTGAAAGTACAACAGCTAAATATTATGTCTACAGAATTAACACAAAATAATTCCATCATCGTCATCATGTGCCCTGCCAACTGGCGTAGGCGATGATGCCTCTCCACAGATCACAATCCCTGGTTACTTGGAACAGCTCTCTTGCCATCGTGTCAGCCCATCCAGTATCTGCTCTCTTGGTCTGCCTGTACCCCTTTTCCCACTGATCTTTTCAGTTGTCATGATGTTCTCTAATGTCTCTCTTCTCATTATGAGGCCAAAGAACAGTGTATCCATAATAAAAGACACAAAAACACACTGCACAACTTATTGCCTGTTATAATTCACTAAATCTAGTAAGGTTGTATACTATAGTAACATAATTAATTAACAATTTCAGTACCAAGCAGCTGCTAATCCTGTCGCCTGAGAAGCTGCAGAACCAACACTTCTGGCTGTGTGTAATTCCCTGTGATACCACTTTTCCCAGCTACATACAGTGATGTTTTTACAAGAAGCACAGCTAATGCTATTGGATCAGTACTCGCCTGCATTCACTCTATTTTCCTGTGAATCAGCTCTCTTGAAGCCAAGTTAAGGTCAAATTTTTCCATAAATTTCGGTGATAGAGATCATGGGTTCACGGCAAGAATCACCCGATACATATTGTTTTTTTAGGGGGTTGGGAAATGTATTTCATTTAATTCTTCAGTCTTTATAAATTTTAGAGGAAAAATAAAAAATGTACGAGTAGATAAATATTTTTTTGATGTATTTGTGATACGTGTAAATTTGTTTTTAATGACTTTTGTTTTGGAGAATTCCTATGAGCTCACGACCCATTTGTAGCATTACCGAGGCAACAGGGTTAAGTAAAGAAAAAAAAACTCTTTTTACACCGGTGATGAACTGAACATGTGATACAGGACCCATACTTTTATTGGCCCTCAGTAGGTGAAGTGGTCAGTATGACAAAGGCCACCTTTATGTTTCATGACATTATCTGATACTAGATAAGTAGAAACTCAAGACACTAAAAAGCTTACCTTTAAAGATTTATTTATGGATACTGCCAAACGGTTCATTTTGGTTATCTGGTCCATTTCTCCTGAAGGTTTCACAAAATGTTTCCTAGAAATTAAAATATGAAATATATACAAGTGAACTGCTTTTAATTACCATAATTTTTTTTTTAATTTCTCTTCTCTATCTTCTTTTCTTGGATATTCCAAGAATAACACAATGCTCCTGTTTTCTTCCATAGCAGACAGGTGCTTTGTTAACCCACTGTATCAGAGTTTTTGAGTTTAATTGAATCTCTGACTCATAGTGTCTCTGTTGCAATATTATCAGACCTAAGTATTTTTTGCTCTGAAGCAAGTTCCTTGGGGTATAAGGAGTTGACGAAACCACTGCTTGGGACTAAAGGGGTTAAAATGGCAGTTGCCATGCTATGCTGTGACTAATGGCTTGGCTGCGATATATGCACCTTTCAGCTCAACACATCAAATTTCAGCAAAGCCCTAATCAGTCACCTTAGACAACATGCCTGTTTGCTGGGCAGTGGGTCTCCCGTCCCCTTTTCTATCCTCTAGATGGTGCCCAGGAAGTCATAAGGAATAAAATACAGGATAAATAAGGACTTATACTGGAAGTTGAACATTATATACAACAATGAGAAGAAGACAAACAAGTTCTTTGGTCATGTGATGAGAAAAGGGGCAATGGAAAATACTGTGACGGCTGGAAAGATTACTGGTAGAAGAGGTAGAGGCAGACCAAGAGAAATGAAGGTGGATGGTTTAAGACAGTGATATGGAGGAATATCATCAATGGAATTGATCCAGAACACCAACGACAGAAATCTGTGGAGATGCATGAACACTTACGCCAGCTGGCAAGGCACTTGATGATGATGAGTATACTGACTGCATAAAATGTAAGTGAGAACAGATCATAAGCCAAATCTACCGACGGTCAGCCTATGGATCATGCTGATATTATCAATGCCCTCAGAGAAATGGGAAGGATAGAGGACTTTGGTGGCAGTGAATCCACATCACTCGCCAGAATGGCAGACTTGGGAATTAAGATCGGCACAGCAAAAAACGAGACGCACACCAGACACGCCAGAAGACTTGTTAATCAACATAGAACTGGTACTATTAGCCATCGGACGTTGGGGTTTATACTGAGGGAAGGATCTGAGCACCTATGGACATGTCCGGAGTGCAATGAGGATAACCCAACTAACTAACTAATTAACTAACTAACTAACTAACTAACTACAGAGTGCTGTATTAACAGAGCCAGGAATTAAATAGCAAAGCAGAGGTTAATTGTTGACATTTATTTATATGTATGTTTATTTCTACGGTACCAGGAATTCTGTATGAAAACTGCAAGGCAAAACAATCACAATGCAAGAAAAAAATTGACAATCTCTTACTGGGAACCATGTAAAGATTCTGCAACTGTTTTACTGTGAGAGACTGCCGGAGGGCTCCTATTTTTATACTCTGTCCTCATTGTGTCGCCCAAGTTCATGACAGTCATTGGGATGCTGACAAAGTGTCTGAGGATGCAGATTTACATTTTTGTCACATCAGAAAACAATTTACAATTTAATTTTTTTTTTAAATTACACACTTTAACATTATATCATTCAATTAGCTAACAAGGTCGCATACGCTCCATCGATGCTTGACTGTGCGAGGGACTGGCTACTGGCGGTTGACCTGCCTGGTCATGAAAAGTACCCAGAGTTAATCCGGAAGACTGGTCTGCAACCCGACATAGTCCAACACTCTGCGGAGAAACGTCAGCTCATCCTGATCGAGCTGACCATGCTGTATGAGTCGTGAAAGGAGGAAAGCCACATGTACAAGCTAGAGAAGGACAGTGACTTAGCGGCTGGTCTGAGGAAAGACGAAGCGTACACAGTAAGAATCTTTGCTGTCGAGGTAAGCACAAGAGGTCTCGTTTCCACTTCAATGTACAATTTGATAAAGCAGCTGGGCTTGCAAGGAAACGGGCGCAAACGATCACTAAAACAACTGGGCGACGCTGCGGAGAGGGCCTCGAGCTGGCTCTGGACACAACGGAACGTCGTGGGGGATGGGCCTTGGTGAGCTGGTCCGGGTATCTAGTGGAAAAGAATGTCTTATCCCTAAAAGCCCATCATGTCCGAACGGTCTGCCGGTGTCCCTCTGCCATCTGCCAACAAAGTCTAACATGTGTCCGATAAACCAACCGTAAGCTTGCCATTTGGTCGTCCAGGTAAGCTGACTGCTCTAATTATGCTACTGCAGCGACTATGTAAATACACTTCATATCTCACAGCAAAGTCACCAATTTCGTCTTGTCCTTGTCCGAGAACATCCGGTAATTCGTGCAGCAGGAGAAAATCTACCCTGAGCTTCATGAACTCAGATAGGCCCACTCTCTGAAAATGTCTAGAAGCTCGTGGGCCAAAACATTTGTCGACGAGAGATTACTTCTACTGATAAGTGGTAGACTCCTGCTGTGCATGCTCCTCTGTGGAGTTTCTTCTTATCTTATAGCTAAGATACATCTGGGTTAACCCATCAAGGCTAGAAAACCAATTAAATTGTTTTGCTCCCAATCAATGAGTTTAGTGTAAGTGTCTTTCCCTTAAATCCAAAGCACAGAATTATAGGTTAACCTTGTCACTTTGCGAACGCTTAAAATAATGGGCCATAAAATAATGGGCCACTAGCCCACGGGAATTCTCCCTCCCCACCCCAACAAAATTATTAAAAAAACACATTTTGTATAGGCTACTAATACTTCTTCTTCTTCTTCACGTTCACCGGCTGTAAACTCCGGCGGAAAGTTATGGTTGTTCGTCCACTTCTGAACTGCAGTCCTGTTCCAGAACCTGAGTGTTGCGTGTGCATCCGTTTGACAGATCTGTATGCAGACTGTTGGTTCCTTGCCTCTCAGGCAGATGCACTCCGACTTCGAAGGAAGCTCCCAATTAGTCAACTCTTACGACATGCTTTTGGGTAGGCAGTGGGTCTATTCTTGTTTTTCCCATAGTAGGGCCCCGGAACCCACACAGGGGGCTACTATTAGTAATCTGTGGCTTAGGTGTTGCGAACGAGCTTCATAATGCCTGAGTGCTGGGTTTGATCCCAGCTGTGGACGGCTTGTCCTGCGTTGGTTTCAACAGAGGTACAGAGAGCTGAAAGCATGGCAAACTAATGAGTATAAAATTTGCCTGGAAAAACCACAACAGACAAAAAATGCTGGGGTTGATTCCGCAATGTCCTGAAAAGGACATGCATCTACTAACACATTTTTAAGAAATTTTTTTATCCATATTTTTAAAAATTTGTTTTTGAAATTTATAATGATATTTAAAGGGAGTAATCAACAAACATGGACAGGGAAAAGGATTAAATAGAATAATTCTTGGGGCCTTAAAAGAAATATTGGTATCAAGTTACTCATGCTGTGAGTCTGTCACCTCCATCACTGAGGCTACAAGGAAAAGTCACATCCATTTGGCTTTAAAATAACCATCTGGTTTACATGTTCCCTCCCCCAAAACTTACAAGTTATGTTTAGTAAATATATATATCCTGATCTCCTGAATCACTTCAAAAAGACACCTGCCCTCAAGAGCAAAGTGTGCAGTGCAAGATTTGGGATACCATGAAGGACCTGCTACTGACATGCGAGTTCATAGAGGCAACCCACCTGATGGTCTGAAATGAGCATATGAAACAGAACACAAAGAAGAAGAAGAAGAAGATCTAAATTCTGCACAGATGACAACATAATGAATAGTGTAAACTAGGTGCTTCATAAACATGCTGCTGTAGAAAAGTCAGTTAGGTGATATGTATGGGGAAACTGACCCCACCAGAACTGTTGGTCTTATGGCTTCTCAAAATGACAGAGTTAAGACTAATAATTCTTTATATTTCATTATTAAGATAAACATCAAATGTGCATGTCAGAGGCCAGTTCGGAATCATGAAGTAAGAATCGTGAATCATCACGCTTGTACCAATTGACCTCCAGCGCAAACTCAGTGTGTGAACGTACAGCACTCGTTCACGCAATTAAGCCGTGCCCAGTTTTAGAGGCCAGGTCCGAGTTCACTCAGCTCGACAGGGAGTGCTACGGATTTTGCTATGAACTCGGGAGGAAATACAAAGGCTTGATCCAAGCGGATTTGGGACTTGTGAGCGGACAGTTGTGGACGACGGTTGTGTGCTTGTCGACAGGGAGAGAGACAGAAAGACACAGTTTAACGACGAAGGTAACGGTTAGGTTAGTGACGGTTAGGTACAAATAGATATTCGTATTTAGTGTCTGTGATAGGCCGTATTTGTATTTATTGTTGTCGGCTAGATGGTGAGAGAGTTAAGGTCTTTGTGTATTAGAAATATTACAGGTAGTATTTAGTTTAAGCAGTTAATCATAGGTGACGCGCCTGGTAATGGCGATTACACTGCCCGGAGCGCCGCTTAGGCCATACACTTCTGTGTATTGCTGAAGTCCCGTTTGGCAATCGACGGCGGATTGATTGGCACTGAGACACTGTTAGCTAGAGTCGTGCTCCCCTGGATCCATGGGAGCTGACCTGGGGTGATTAGTGCACTGAGTTTAAAGCTGTCATCGCCAGGGCAGCTTCGGATGGGAGCTGCTTAGCCCAGTTGAAGTGTTTGTACGTCTAATGTTCATTGTATATTAAAGATAATGGTTGTACTCAGCCGGAGTGTCGCCTTAAGTGTGTTTGGTTGTAGAGTCTGTCAGCTGGCCTTCCTAGCGAGCCATATAAACAAGTAGAGTAGTTTAGGTCCCTGACAGTGCACTTTTTATTAACAGACTATTCACTAGCTATAAAATTATTATTTAATGATGTATAACCAAGCATATACTCGCTGCATATACTAGTCTAATTCCTAAAACCACCTTCAAATTTGTCTTTTCAACCACATTTTTTTTTCTTTTTTTTTAACTATCTTGTAAAAGTTAACCTAGTGATCAATACAAGATGAACTCGAATGTGCTAGCGAGTAAATGTAAATATCTCACATCTTTTGTAAACAAGCACAATACAATGTTCATCAATAAATTAAATTGTCAAACAAAGAGTTAGACTATAATGAGACAAAAAATATGTTTCAATTATAAATTAACTGTTAGAACAGAAGAAATCTGGGTGTCCCAGGTATGAATCCTCGGTAAAGTTGTGAATTTCTTCTGCCAGATGCAAAAATAAAATTCTGACCAGCAGTCTGTGGTGAGAGCATAAGACATGTCACCGTAAATCTTCACACTCAAAGACTTGGGGGCCACATTAGCACAGTTGATAGGAGACTCGCTTTCAAATCCTACTGCAACTTGCTGCAGCCCATGGCCGATGCTCGAAACCAGGCGGTTCCCGGGGTTCACCCAGCCTCTAGGAAAAGGGTACCAGGGTTAACACTCTGGGGTAAATGGAGAAACGTCGCTGTAGCTACAGAGTTATGTGTGAACGGCGACACAGGCGGACAATTTCTTATCAGCTGTCCGTACTTTTGGCAGAGCACTTATGGTTTATAACCGTGTGCAATAACGCTGGTTCACATCTCCTGACTTTACTTTACCTTTTTACATGACAGTTTAGAGTCTTAAGAAAGAACTTTGAAGATAAGAAACTTAAAAATCAAAAGGGGAAAAAAACAAATTTTTTTTTTAAATCAAGGAGACTTTCATGTCAGTGCCACACTGGGCATTTGATTCTAGACCTACTGGCACTTGGTGGGTGATGTAGTCAACATAACACCAGCTGCCTTTACTTCCCTGGATAGTACCTGGTACCCGATTTTCCCTGGCAGGAAAACATTTAGCAACCACACCACTGCGGCTCCTAATGAGAAATTTACGAACAGTTAAATGCATGCCCTTACCCATCTATGACATGCATAAAGCCGTGACTGAACGTATGAGTGGACATGTCTGGTGACACAGAAGAAGTGCACAGAAAGAACAGGAAATCTTTGGGTTCAGCTGCACACATCTCTGATGTAGCTAAACTGTTATGCAGGGTTATCTCCCTCAGAGATGGTCTGGTAGCTGTGTTGTGTCGAAAACTGTACCACCCGATTAATTTCTGTGAGAGTAATGATGATGTAAAATTAAACAATAGCATAAAAGTAAATTCATGTTAAATTTTTTACTGCTGTTTGTTGTTTGCATTCACCGGCTGTAAACTACGGCAAAAAGACCTGGTAGTTTGTACATTTCTGGACTTCAGCTTTGTTTCAGGACCTGAGTTTTTGCATGTGTATCTGTTTTACAGATCTGGACTTATTTGTATGCAGACTGCTGATTCTTGCTGCTCAGGCAGATGCACTACGACTTAAAAAGAAGCCCCCATATAACAATCGACAAATTAGGGGTTTCATTTGACGCTGGAGTACATCTGCCTGAGAGGAAAGGAACTGACAGTCTGCCCAAAAAAAATGAAAACCAAATAGGTAAAACAGATGTGCATGCAAAACTCAAGTTCTGGAACAAGACCAAATTCCAGAAGTGGATGACCAACCAGATCTTTTTGCTGGAGTTTACAGCATGTGAACGTCAACAGAAAGAAAATACGCCAGGCTGCAGTCCATCACTGGAAAAAAATCCTCATTCTGTCTTTTCATTTGTTTGTTTGTTTGTTTTAGTATCCAGAAGCCATGAGTTGTTAACCCTTAGGCTCGTTATTATGGATATCGCAACCTTTCAGCCTTGATTCCATTGTAAATACCGTACATCTGGGAGAAATGTGGCTTTTCTGCCTACCCCAGGGAGTGAACCCGGACCACAAGGAGTTTGTCACCCGGTGACCACGCAATCCGGTTTAGCCAACGCTAGAGAGCCGGGCATTCTGTCTTTTCAGATGACAGTATTATACTGCGCTATAGTGAGGCATGAGAATCACAGCCCATGATGACAGCGAGTGTCACCAGCAGGACCTACTTGTGTTAAGAAAAAGTCTTCAAAAATTAGAATATGAGACCACTGCTGCCTGCTCTCGACAGCACAAAACCCAAGCAGTACTGCAGAGACCATGTATTGATCTCTCTTTTGGCTTGCCTTGTTTACTTTAAAGGAAAGGCACCACTAAAACTCCTGGTTCAATGCATGCTGCTGAAGTGGCTAAAGCAGAAGAGCAGTGCTCTGTCCCCCTGTCAGAGCTTCCCTCCTACACAACTTGCTAACCAAGGCTAAAGGCCTGGTCTGCCCTGCCCTGCTATATCATTAAGCTTTCAGGTTGCACTGTTGCACTTTCTCTCTCTAGAATAAGCGTAGTTGCCACATCCCCCCCCCCATAATTTTTTTCCTGCTCCCTTCATGAGCAGCACTGTATTGCAATCATTTCACATAAGCTTAAAAACTATGTACCAAAAAAAAATACTGACAATAAATGCTTCATATATGATTTCGTCTACACTTCCTTCACCTTGAAATCACAAAAACGCTTACCCTCGTAAGACAGCAGAGTACACTAGGGGTGTACTTGGTGTAGCCATTACTTGTGACCTAATTTACAACTTCGGCTATCCTCCGAACAACGGTCCCAAATTATCGAGGTCAAAAATATACACTAACAGGGCCTCAGTCACGTGTCGATTGCAGACTTGCTGCAACTTTAATTGTGCACTTCCGCCACCGCCGAGAGTATTCCCCCACGCCGCGTGAGTGGCGTGGATTGGGGCTAAACTAGATGGCTGGGACTCATGAGCAGCAGCTGCCGCATCTCCTGCAGCTTCCTTCATTTCATTTGCTTGTGAGTCCCAGCCATCCAGTTTAGCCCCAATCCACGCCGCGTGGGGGAACTCTCGGCAGTGGCTGTATAGTCCCAGAAGTGCGCAATTCGGGGGTGGCAGTATATTACCCGGTCCACAATTGACACGTGACTGAGGCCCTGTTAGGGTATATTTTCGGCCTCGATAATTTGGGACCGTTATTCAGAGGATAGCCACAACTTCTTAGGCATATCTGAGTAAAATCTCACAAAAGTCACTGTCACTGCTAAAGGTCATGGGTTCAAGCCCCAGTGAAGGCTGGGACTTTTTCTTTTCCTGTGGACTTCTAGTAATTTCACCTGATCTCTGGGTAGTGAGATCGGACGCCCATGTGCATTGTTGCACACGTAATAAAATCCCTTGGCAGTTGGAAATCGAAAAGAGTAGCCTAACATCGTTGCCCGGGCAAAATTTGGAGTTAAAAATCTACCCAAAATATTTCAGGATCCTCGCCGGTGCTAGAGTGCACTGAGCTGAGCTACTTCAGACTCAGACTTGAGCTAGAAGTAGAACGGAGCACTTATGGTTTACTACCTGTGTGCCATGATGTTGATCCCTTGTTCAAACCTTCATTGTTTAGACACTTTGTGCTGAGTACCAGCATCTTTGATTTTCTAGGTAAAAAATACTGGGTATATCTACACAAGGCAGAGGCAGATCACATCCAATTTCAAACCAGAAGAATGGTCTAGCAGTAAACAACAAAAGACCTGACCATTCAAGTACATACCCAAGTAAAAACGTTGGTGGCATCATTCCATATTTCCAGACAACTGTGTTTTATTGTGCTTTAGGTAGGCATGGAAAGTGGATCCTCTCAACTTTACCTTTTTATCTAATTAAAATGTTGATGATGATGATGCTTCTTCTTAGAGTTCACCAGCGGTTAACTACTGTAAATAGCTCTGGCTGTTCATTCATTTCTTAACACTAGTCTTGTTCGAGAACTTGAGTTTTGTGTGGATATCAGTTGTACAGATTTGGCTTATTTATATGCATACTGCTGGTTTCTTGCCTTTTATACAGATGCACTGCGACTTTGAAAGAAACAACTATAATCAATCGCTTTTGCTTGTCAGGGGTGTAGTGGGTTTATCCCCCCACCCCCACCCCTCCCACCCCCAGTGGCCCTAGAACCCACATGGGGATATGGTATGAAATGATTATTGGTTAAAACAGTAATGAAAAAAAAAAAATAAAATAACAAAGCCTTCTACTCACTTGCTCTGTACCTGTTAGAAATGACTTCACCCATTTCTCTTTTATATGTCCGCCTCTACTATATAGTGTTTCTTGACTGGGCCAGGGAACAAATGAAGATATATCTTGCAAACAATAAACAAAAAAACTATTCATAAACTGTGAAAAACTATATATACTAAAATTATATATATATATATATATATATATATATACACACACACACACACACAATCACACACACATAGTGGTATCTCGGAATTTGAATATAATCTGCTCTGAGGCGGGGTTCAAATTCCAAACAGTTTGAGTTCCAAGGCAATTTTGCCCGCTGAAAATAACAGAAACTATATTAATCTGTTCCAGGGTCCAACAAACTCAAATTTTAAAATGTTTTTTTCCTAAATACAGTACACTGTAAATATGGTAATTCATGATCATCATATTTCAATTTTAACAAATAAAAGAATTAAAAAAGATATAAAACATTGTATTTACTGTACCCTGATTTTAAAAAAAACTAAGATGTAGCACACAGCAGTGGGAGGATGAAGGGGGATTTAGGGAGATTATTCTGTGAAAGGTGAGTCACTTCTTACGATAACACCAGGAGTCCTTTCTGGAGTTTCATATCATAGTCATTCACCACTTGTAGATGATTTCTAGTCATTAGTTTTTCTCGACAGCCAGTAATCCAAAGCACTCTGGTGGTGGTGATATTCTGATAAGCTTTTATTAATTCTGAATCACTACTGCTCTTCTAAAAGTCTCTAAATGCATCTAGATTGTAAAACTGAGCTCTATAACACATATAATTAAATAAATTCTAAAAGCGAATAGCTAATTTGACTTACATATGTAAGAGCTTACATCATACGTAGGTATCTGAGAATCACTGATTCTGCCCACTACTTGTTCTATTTTCTCTCCAGTGAGAAATCCATACTGTGGATATTACAAGATGCTATTCAACCGCTTGTAAAAAGACAAGATTCTAAACAACAGCATGTAACAATGCAAAGTTCCATTCATCAGTATGGGACATAACAACAGTAGAAAAATGAAGTCTGTATGAAATGTAAACGCAACAGTTACTTAACAAAACTATTACAATAAATCTCTATAGTGCAAGTTTTGATTAACTGTTAAGTTGTGAAGAAGCATACATCATTATCAGTTCAGCTTGTTCCACACCACGCTCATTATAACAAATGCACTGATCATCTGCAAATAATAATTCATTTATTGTTTGCAGGCGATCAGTAAAGGGTTCCCTTTCCGTGCCTTCTGGCATACTGGGAACTCGAAGGATAATATGGTCAATATCATGCCGGTCATCTTTACTTCCCAGGACTTTACTTGGTACTTATATAAAGCTCGGTCAATATGGGAGTCAAAGTCATTTTTGGAGAAAAAAGGTTGACTGTTCAGAATTGACCCCAAGAGCAAGATGATCAGTGCTCGTAATTATATAATTATAGCATATATTTTGCAGTTAACAAAATAAGAGCTTTCCACTACAATTGTTGCTTTAAATAGTTTGCTGTCCTTTGTTTTAAAATACTTGGCAATGAATAAGTATCCTTGCCAAGTGAGTTACAGTGTCTATGGCTCAGAACATCAGATTTCAAAAAAGCATTTGTGGTGGTTAGTTTTCTTTAGCAGTTAATTGTTTCTAGTTCGCTTATAAGGGAACAGGTTTGTGTCTCTAAGCCTGGTTCCTAATCCTTGACCATGTCTACAATGATCTGTGGGCCACTGGCTAGGCCTCCATGGGCAAAGTTGTGCCCAAGGACTGTCAGTTTAATAGCCCTGATGTAGCAAGTCCTTTGCAGAACATTGCTTTCATTGTGGTCAGCTAGAAAAAATAATTCATACCCAAAGAGTCACTTATATCCTGTGACCATCTTCGTGCTTGTAGGCCCCTGCCCCTCCTTCCATGTATTATGCCTTCTGATATAAGTTTTTCCAGTCCTCTGTGGTGCTTGATATGGCCAAATATTGCAGCTTCTGAGACAAAAATGCTGTTTATTAACCAATCTTCCTCAATGTTCAACTCTTTTAAGATATTATTTCTCTTCGTCTTTGTGCATGGCTTTATGAGGTTCAAAAGACTCAATTCACAATATCACAATACTGTGATACAAACTGTATAGCCTCTCCTCGGTTAGTCTATTTCAGCACTTATTTCATCCAAAATCCCCAAAGCCTTTGTGACATACTCCAGTTTTACCTCCTCATCACAAGTGCTAAAAGAAGTCTCGTCAACTTTTGACGTAAGCAACAACCTTTGTGAACTAATTTCTTTCAAGACATCACATCGCTTTTTAATCCATTCACTGTATTATAATCATTTATTTTTCCTTCTGAACCATACTCACAGATGTGCAGCTTCACTTCGATATAATTTCTCGATATCTTTCGATTGTCCATGATTGGCTCTCGTACAACAGGATAAGAATAAAAATGTTCAAAATACTGCAATAACATCAGTGACATAACAGAGGATTAACACATCGTTGTCTCACCTGACACCCATTACTATTTAAATTTGTAAACAAAAGTGCTGACAGAGTAGTACCATCTAAGTACACGGACATGTTTATAATTTTATCGACAGGTGACACACAAGCGACAGTGCGCCACAAACAAGTAAAAGTAACATCTTCCACCTGGGGAAAGAAAAAAATCAGAGCTCTCTCTCTCTCTCTATAAATATAGACCTATAGACAACTGTCTGCTGCTGATGACTTATACTACACTTATACCACAAGAGAGTTCGTCATCGTCATGTGAACAGACGGGGGAAATCCTGGTTTGTTATCAAATCACAAATTTCGCTAGTTTGTTATCAGGGCTTATATGGAAATAACAAAATACATGTTGCAAGAGGGTGCGGGATTTTAGCTACCCTATCCCTGTATCCTCAACATGCACAAGTCAACCGATCCTGAACAAGACCGGAGGCCTTGGTATTAGATACGGTGGAGCGTACTACAAGACTTATCACAAAATTGTTGATAAACGTATAAAAATGATATACACTTACAAGATATAAAATGTATAAGTGAAGACAGAGAAACTGTTAAAATTACAAAAATACATTTGTGATAAAATCAATGGTCAAGTGACATTGGAGATCGTGCCTCTCCGCATCTCACAATCCCAAATAAATTTTGCTGACGTGGTGACATTTATATACGCTTAAGATACTAATCACGTTCTCCCCCGTGTGGGTTCCGAGGTTCCATTGTGGGGAAAACAAGAATAGACCCACTGCCTCCCCAAAAGCATGTCGTAAGAGTCGACTAATGGGGAGCTTCCTTTGAAGTCGAAGTGCATCTGCCGGAGAGGCAAGGAACCAACAGTCTGTATTCAAGAGAATGAGATCTTTAAAACTGATGCACACGCAACACTCAGGTTCTGGAGCAGGACTGCAGTTCAGTAATGGACGAGCAACCAGAACTATCCACCAGAGTGTACAGCTGGCGAACGCAAAGAAAAAGAAGAAAGACTAATCACGTTCTGAAATTAGTAGGTCATTTCACAGCTTGTATCGTACACTTCACATGTGGAAATTTTACCTAGATCCTTGTGGACTGTCCTTGGAGCAACATAATTCGAGTTCTGTGTGACGCTCTCATCTAGTAGCTAGCACCTCTGACGAGAGACCGGGCCATATGGGATAAAACCACCCGGTGCAGGTCGTTTACGCCAATGCTAAACCCACTCGCGGGAAGGAGTTTAACCACGCAGAAGTTGAATGGGAAGTAAAAAATGTGGTTTAGAAAGTAGAGCACACAGTTCTATGCATCAGGTTTGGTAGGACTGATAAAACGATGGGACAAGTGCATCATGTTGAAAACTAAATGGACAGTGTAGGCCTATGTGTAAAAATAAACGATTTTCAAGTTGTTTTAATATGATGCTCTTGTGATATTTCAAAATGGCAATAACCCATTTCTTCTTTTCATACTTTGAGGCCACCGGCTGCAAACTCTAGCGAAAAGTTCTGGTTGTTCGTCCACTTTTTTACTTTAGTCTTGATCCAGAAGTTGAGTATCGATTTCGATTTTATAGATCTGGCTTTTTTGCATGCAAACTGTTGGTTCCTTGTCACTCATGCAGATGTACAGCATCTAAGGAAATCTCTAATTAGTCGACTCTTACGACATACCCAAATGGGGTCCCGACACCTACACGGAAAATACACCATCCATCTTTGTCATCATATGCCAAACTCCGAAACAGGTAACATGCTCTGAAAATAATTAATTCTAATGCTAGGACAATATTAACAAGGGTAATTTATTTCAGCCGGAATGAACTCTCATCACTAATGAGAAAAAGCGAGCATTTTAAAAGATCTATCAAGCAGCCGCACATACAGCCAGATAATTGTATAAATAATGTGACACAAATTAAGGACGCAAACCTGTAATGAAGCAGGGTTTCAGATAAGGAAAAGGTTAAAGGATTTGGTTTTGAACCTTGGATATTCAGGGTCTATATTTATATCCATGTGACATTTGTGTTGTCCAGTTTTCGGTCAAACAATCAACTAAACTTGTCAGTCAGTATTTAGGATTGATTAATTCCTTGCCACACTACACTCATTTGTTAATTTTCCCCTCAACATAATTTGTGTGTGTGTATAAAGATTATTGTGAAGAAATACGGAAAACGTTGCAATGCCAAATGATTAGCATCTGTTCCCAGAACATTGTGATAATGTTGCAATGACACATACTTGTGAAGCCGACTGAAACATTAACAGTATTAAAAAGACACATATTTATAGTATATATATATATATAAACCAGAGAATACAAATTAGTATAATAGTTAAAGAGTAGGCCTATACAAAATAGTGGGAAGCACCGTGTTGTAGTGGACACGATCGTCGCGGGTTAATGTCCTGAAAGGAGCTGAACTTTTTTCAAAACTGACCCTGACTTCCAGGTCGACCCAGCATTAAATGGGTACAAACTAAAGTCCTGGGAAGTAAAGGTGACCGTCGGGATGCTGACCATGCCACCCATCACATGCCGATTGCTCTAAAAAAAAATAGGTCCAGCCCTATATGCCTAATACACCTGAAGGCGTGGAAAGGGGTCCTTTAGATGCCTTTTGCCCGGCTCTCTAGCGTAGTTGGCTAAACCGGATTGCGCGGAGACCGGGTGACGAACTCCTTGTTGTCCGGGTTCAATCCCGGGGGTAGGCAGGGAAGCAACATTTCTCCCAGATTTACGGTATTTACAATAAAATCAAGCACGAAAGGTTGCGATATCCATAATACCGAGCCTAAGGGTTAACAACTCATGGCTTCTGGATACTAAAACAAACAAACAAACATAGATGCCTTTTAGATATAAAATTGCAAAAATGTACACTGATATTACAAAGGACGTTTACAATAAAAAGGATATTATCTCTGTGAAAAACTGCTACTACAATTATTACTGCTGCTTAGTTATTAAGTTATCAAGTGCCCAACCACATTAGACTGCAAGTTAGTTTGTAAGCCTAGGGTTTCATAATAACAATTGTTGGTGCTTTTTCAATATCCTACTCCAAACAGGGGAAATCCACAGGTCACGGGACATTCTAATATTTCAGGGGGTGGAGATAGGCTGCATGCAGTCGTGGGACATATGCTGCATGCATTCGTGGCACCTAGGCTGCACTCTCTCGTGGGACGTATGTGGGTTGTGGTTAGGGCCAGTTCTAGATGTTTTGGAGTCGTTAAAAGCCGGGAAACCCAGTCTTACTACCCTCTAAAATGTTGGACTGTTCTGTGACGTCATCTGGGGTAAGATATTAATAAAGAACCCAACTGTTATAGTAAAACTTACAAGGGCTGAATGGGGCTTCTGGTGTCTGCTCTGGTTGGATTCTCATCCACGAGATGCTAATCATACAGACCGTGCTACTACTGTTTACTTTTTAACACTTATATACTCAATCATCTGCATTCTGAAACTGCCACCCAACAAACAATTCATGCCGCTGTATTACTCAGTTAACGGTAGAGTGGGTTTTACAAAGAAGCTGCTACTGTACAACTTCAACATTTCGCCAAGCCTGCCGACTGCTGTGTTCTAGCGACCGACGACTGACCTTGAGTGCCACTTCCGACTCTAGTTTTCATTCAGGAAGGTAAAGGACCAAAGGCTAGTGCCAAGGTAGCACAACAAAGCATCAAAATGTTGTTTCTACCTGACGATAAACCATGTCCACCCAAACCCAAGCCCGTTTTTATGGAACCGATCGACAAGTCGAAGGTAAGAATGCTTTTTTTGTAGGGAAGTCTGTGTATAATTAACTTCGTATGGCTCGGCTTATTATCTGCAGCCATAACTAGCTAACTAAAACAAACCCGCCGGTCTCCCAGTCAAGTCTGGGAGATCCAAGGCCTAATTTAAGTTTTCCAAAAGTTTTGATAAACCGGTGTGCAGTTTATATTTGTGAAAACTGAATTATGAATGGGAAAAATTAAAATACAATAGTGAAGGTTTATAAAAGTAGCGTTGGGCTCTGACTCAGAGACTGTAAACATACTAAATAGTTAAAATACTATTAAAACTAAATAAAATAAAAGAATAATCGTCCCTAGTAACTAATATACTAGGCTGTGATAACAAAGATGTATAGCATAAAATGTTATTTGTTTATTATAACCTCCCATTATGTCAATTTATTACATAATAAAAGTAACAAAATTGTAAGGGCCCTCATTTCTCATAACTTTAGCTCGTATTGGTCAGTCATAGAACTAAAGTTTTTTAAAACATCATCTCTGGGGCGGCCACCTTTACTTCCCAGGACTGCACCTGGTACCCACTCCAGGCTGGGTTAACCTGGGAGTAAGGTCAATTTTGAAAAAAGTCTGGCACGGTCAGGACGCAAACCCACAACCTTCCGATCCGCAGACGAGCGTTTAGCCGCCAAGGCGACTGGAAGTCCCTTTTATTACATAACATCATCTTTGTTTAATAAAATTAAATTTTTGCTTGTTCTGTTGTGTTATATACTTCTGTGATACATCTTCCATCTGATGGTACACATCTACCTAGATACTTAAGCTTTTATTTTATCCCAAGATAACACAACTGTTCTTTTCTCGTTTTTACTGCCACTTCAGCCTTTCCATTATTCAGGATGTGACCCATTTTTTCGCTTTCTATAACCACCATATCTTTGTGATTTGTTGCTGTCAGGATGATGTCATCAAAAGAATGTGGACTATTTATATTACAACCCCCAGACATGATCCCTGGTAAAGCTTGTGTAGATCAGCTAACAGTACACATCCTTGTTGCACAACATCATAGAATGCATACAAGCATTTAAGAAAATGAAACTTAAGAATATAATAAAAATGTTTGAATTGATGACAGATACATGAGAATAGTTTAAATATTGGGGATTAATGATGTTACAGAATCACTAATGTTGAGCTTTGAGAGGCAGCTAAACAAGCTCCAATAGACAAAGAGGTGAAGAAAAGACATTAGCGTTGGATTAGGTACATGTTGAGAAAACCTGAGAACAATATAACTAGAATGTCTTTGCACTGGAACCCACAGGTTTATAGAAA